GTGACACAAGACAGTACATTGAGCTGGGCTCCTCATGTACTTTTGCGGTCGGAGGATGCCCCCTTAACGCTGTCAAGACTACTGCTCACAAGTCAAGCCCCGTGTACATGCAGTGGGCAATATGGCCACGGGTCTTTCCTTGTGCCACAGACTGGTGCAGGGCACAGGTCGTAAGGGCAGCTTGCATCTTCTTTGCAGTTGATGGAAGTGGTTCTTGGCATTTGCATGGCAGCACCGTAGAAGTCCCTGGATGCCCTGGTTGCAGGGGCTTAGATCAAACCTGCCCACAGTGAGATGCACGGTCCTTTTCCGGTTCTTGGCAGTTGTTCTTGTTCATCCCATGTTGCAAACGATGCGTGGACCAAAAGCATTCAATTCGCTTTTTATGGGCGCCATGTCCCTGTCGCCAAGACCAGTGAGTCGTTAATCTGGCTTAAACAGATTTTGGGTGAAGAGCCTTTTTTGGCATGGGACTTGCACAGGTTTGTACAGTTCCGTAGCTGTTCCCTCGGAAAAAGCAGCGTGAACATAACTGTTTGTTTGTTTGTTTGTTTGTTTGTTTGTTGACATGAGGGGTTTGGAAAGGAAGGGGTCCCAATCTAGACCCCAGAGAGTGGGATCCTCTAGATAATGACCGCTTTACTTAAACAAGAACTCCTACTACTGGAGCCCTTCCTTGCCTAGGTTTGACTTGATCCTGTCCGCACAGATGCGGTGGTTTGTCCAAATGTCCTTAACGGACTGGGCCAACAACTGAGAAGACTTGAGCAGTCGCAGAGTTCAGAGCAAGTTGATTGGAGTTTGGGATGAGGGCCATCTTCAGAGATGCTGAGGTGGAGTTTGTCCGGTCCTTCACACCGAAGGTCAACGAGCCTCTCCCGCCGGGACGCTCAGCGCGGCTGCTCCGATGCTGCTTCTCGCGCTGAGGGCTTTGATCGCAGCTTTTTTCTGGGCCTCAGGACCCCCCTGCTAACGCTGAGCCTTGAGGCTGTCCATGGTGAGGCAGATTTGTTGCGGTTGTCGGACGGGCATTTACGACCGCCGACCTTGTCGTCACCGCCAACAAGCAGTGTACAGCAGGTGCAGATAGCACCTCATCCGGACGACCTCAAAATGAAGATTCTTGAGTTGATCGATGATGTCACGAAGGCTGCTGCATCTGCAAGGGCTTCATGAATTCGAGCCGCTAAAATCGCTCTATCGTCGACATCGCGAGGTGACATCTTCCATCATGAGCATCGAGTACGAGGCAGATTCAGCCCAAGAGCTCGCAAGCGCCGGGCCATTTGCACCTGTGCCAGCTCGTGCCCTTCTGCAATCTGCCCCAACACCTCATGTTCGAGCCGCTGGCTTAGGGGCACCAGACGGAAGCCGCCTCTGCCCCGATCGCTGTTCCCTCGAGGCTCCAGCCGAACAAGGAGGAGCGCAAGGCCGAGGTGGGGTCACCGAAGCTGGGGCTTCCGCTGGCAAATCGGCGCACGTGCGTGCCCGCGTGAGCAGAGCTGCCTTCCTTCTGGAAGTCTCCAGGCAGAGGCGTCCGCTTCGCCGGGCCCTCGAGGGCAGGGCAGGGCAGAAGACGTCCTCGTGACCGGTCGTAGCAACAAGTGCTGCGCTGAGGAGTCCTGCGGACGAGGTCCAGCTGTTGAGAGCGGCAAAGGTTGGGCGCTTAGGCAGCCGCGAGCCTCTCGCATTGCAGTTCGGCTCACCTTTGCAGATACAAGACCACAGCCATCGACACAGTTAAATCTTGCTATGGACAAGGCTGCAACGGCAGAGGTCATCGAAGAGTGCCTTCATGGACCTCGACAGGTTCAGGCGCCGGCGATGAGCTTCACCGCTTGACCGGCGTTTTGGGTTGGTTCCATGAACCGAAGGCGAGCTACCAGGAGTATGCATACCTCTTCAAGGAGGAGGCATTCCCAGCCTTGTCGACGGCCACTCAGCGTAACATGGGGCTTTGTGGTCAGGTTGCGGGTGACATGGACCCACTCGATGTGGAGGCTGTGCGAGTCGCTGCCTCGAAAGGGGGGGGATTCTGGCTACTCGTAGCTGCACCCTAATAAAACTGGCGGTACTGGCTTCGTGATCAGGAAAAGACAGATGCGTACTTGCAGGCAGGATGCTGGACCTGAAGTTGGTAGGATTGCTTGAAGTCTACCTTGGCTAGGCGAGCTGTGCTGTGAGGCAGGCACACAGATTGAGAAGCTCATGACCGAGGTGGTGAAGTCCAGATCTTAGTGACATGTGGTGTTTTGATCCTTCGGATGACATTTTGCCTTCCTCCTCTGTGAATAAGCTGCCATCCGGGCCCAACCATGCAAATCTAGTGGATGAGTTTCGTTTCGCCAGAAACAAACCTAGCTAAAAGCAGCTGTGCTCCTTATCTTGACCCCTTTCGCATCGATGGCTCTGGCAAGGTTCCCCTTGTTCGAGCTGCACTGCATGGACCGCTTCAGGGCTTTCCAGTGTGGGAGTCAGCAAAGGGGTTCCACGGTTTCGAGGCCTTTCGGCCTGGGAGTTCAGGGGGTCAGGGTTTAGACCGGTTAAGGGCCTAGAGTTTGAGGGTTCAGGGCTTGGATTGAGGGCTGTAGGCTTTTGAGGTTCGGGCTTCGGAAAAGGGATCTGACAAGGATGCATCGTTGGATTGCAAGATCAGGGGGTAGTAGAAGGATCGAGAACAGTTGAGACTGCATTCCGATGAGAAGCCCCCGTCAGAGCCTGCGGGTTGCTCACGGGCTTGAAGATGGGCAACCACGCTCCACTCCGTTTGGAATTCAAATTTTTGCGACGGCCCACTCACCGTTCCTCGTTCTTCAGATGTTGAGTACTAAGTTAGGACGGCCAAACGTTTGCCTTCCGCCAGTCCCTTTATGGGTTAGGGATTTTGTACGGCTAAACGTTTGCCTTCCCCCAGTCCCTTTACGGGTTAGGGATTTTGTGGCTATGCACCTCCCGCATCTGTTGCGAAGATTTTGCCACTCTCGAGTATTGCGTTCGGAACATTGTACCATTGAGGTTTGCACAGCGCCTCTCTGCACTCTTTTCGGGGTTTGCTTCTGTTGGATGTTTTAAAATGAAGGTTTGCGGTTTACCACTGTCACGCGTGTTTGCCTGTTGGCATGGTCTATTCCGTTTACGGCTTAGCCTTCGCTGCTCAACATAGGTCCAGTGAATTCTTCCAGTGTGCAGGCGTTTGCCACTCTGAACAAACTTGGAGGGTCTTCTCTTTGCAGATTCGTGTTTGCCATTTCTCGATTCCTTCTCGAGTTTAGGCTTTGCTACCTCTCGGTTTCTGTCTGTATACACGTTTGCCCACTTTGAAGGCGCCTTTGGGTTACTTTAACTCCATAAAGTATAGCTTCGTATAATACGAGATGGTATGCTATAGTATAGTGTGTTGTTCGATCTAGTGTAGTAAAGGAATAAAAACTGAACTATAATATGCGATTGCAAAAGACCAGATTTCTTGATACAACATAGCAGAGCATGGTGTAACATATCCTTGTACGACTCACCTTAATATAAGATAATAGTATTACTAGAATACTAGAATAGAATAGAATAGAATTGAATATAGTATAAGACAACATAAGATAGTAGAGTATACTTTAGCATCATATAGTTTGCAGCCTTTAACTCTTCCGTGTCTCTCGTCTGGAAGCGCAGCTCGGCCGCTCCCCAACCCTTCTCAGGGCTTAAGAAGGGACTCCACCCTAAACCCTAAACTCCATTTATGGATAACAGCTGCAGAAAAAGGCCCTCAAAAAAAACTCTATTTCAGTATCCCCCGTTCCTGCCACCGGCTGCACTTTGTCGTCTATTCTCGTTAAGTTGAAGTCAGGTTTCTCTTTGCTTTCGGGTTTCTCGCTCAGAGGTTAACGCCATCAGCTCCCTGCTCCTTTTCGGGTTCGGGACAAGGCTTTTTTCCTCGACGTTCAACGAACTTTTATGGTTCGCCTTGGGCTTCTGTCTTTTGGTTTTACAGTTAGGTTCGGTGTTTTGCCGCTCCGAGTACTTTTCGGGTCTTGAGTCTGCAGGACATCATCCAGCAGATGTCGCAGAGGGCCTACCACCTCGCAGGCTGTTGCCTCCAGACCGTGGCACAGAGCATCCAGGTGCGAGTGGATGCGACAAGCGGGCTTCGGCCTTCGGCAGTGTGCAAACGTCTGCCAGGAGCGTTCGCAGGCTGTGCTCACGGAGTGGTGGGTGACTGAGTGTCAAGAATGTCTGGATGTTCACAGATGAGCGTGGCCGCCCTAGGCACGAGACCCACGAGCACATCCTGTCGAACCCGGAAGATGAGGAGGAGACTTGGTGGCAAATGAGTGCCTCTACATCATGTGCAAGAAAGCTCCAGGAATGTAGAGCAGGTTTTCCGATGTGATGTGTCAGGAGTTGGCAAAGCTGAAGCAGTTCATGAGCGACCTCCCGCAGCTCAAGACCAAGTCAGCATCTCAATCGACTTCCGCCGGAATTTCGGCACAGAGTTGCAAGTACAGTTGCTTTCAAGGCCACTGATGCAGACCACGCGGCACATACACACTCAGATCAACATGTGACTTGGACGCACACCAGTCCCAGGCAGTGCCAGAGCGGGGTATTGCTGGTCTCAGACAACATGGGTACTTCGATGAAAGTTCACCGTTGCCGCACCAAGGCTTGCGGACTTCAGCTTTCAGATCGACAATGAGGCATAGACCAGATTTTTGTGCCGCTTCCTGAAAACCGGGACGTATTCCCTGATCCACAATGATCCTGTACAGGTTGTGGAACGTGCCTTCTCCTCCTTTGCGTGGCCCCTGCAAATCCAAATCGATGTGGGTGACTCTGCAGGGAAGCCCAGAGAGGCCAAGTTCTGGCAGTTTCGCACGGAGAGCTGAAAGACAGACACGGCACCGGAATCATCATGAGCAACATCATGCTGTGTGACATGCTGATAACGCTGATGGCTGTGGTGGGGTGGACGTCCTAATCCCTGTCGTCTTCCTCGTCCTCGTCGTCGTCGTCGTTGTGATGAGGGGGCAGCAGTAGCAATCGGCGAGGCAGGGGTGACAGCAGCAGCATCATGAGCAGTAGCAGCAGCGAATGCACACGGCCGCCATTGTCTTTGCCCCTCTTGGCCACCTCCTCACTAACTAAAACCATGCGTGCTGCTTCGCCACCACCACGACCATCCGGATCATGATCGCACTCTTATCTTCTCCAAATCAGTTTAATCATCATCATCATCAGCATCATCACCACCATCATGATTACCATCACCACCGTCACCACCATCACCACCATCACCACCATCGCCACCAGCACCACCAGCACCACCGGCACCACCAGCACCACCAGCACCACTAGCACCACCAGCACCACCATCACCACCGGCAGCACCGGCGGCACCAGAACCGGCACCACCATCACCATCACCACCATCACTACCAGCCTTGTCATCACCATCATCGTCGTCGTTTCGACAAGCCAGTCGAGAGATTGTCTAAGCGACAGGGCGAGAAGGAAAAAGTAGTGACAGGTCCCGGCATTGCGGGCGCTTGTCCAGCTCTAAGGAACGAAGCCTGGACTCTCAGAAGCAGAAGTTCATGGAGAAGCTGGACCAGGAGAAAACAGAGCAGCTCGGTTGCCTCGAGTTCATCATCCTGTCCTCATACGTCGTCAGAACTTGGTTTGAAGGTATGAGCGGGACATGGCTAGCTACCAGGAGGATTTGGAATGGCTCAGAGGTTTGCACCTGGGCTGCATGCTCCTGTGAGCCGACCATGGGTGCAGTTGGGTGCACGTGACCGACGGACGGACACTCGCGGGAATTTAAGGAATGACTACTCGCTGGCAATGAAATGCGCTCACCGTATCTACTCTCTGAAAGACTGCCTCTCAGTCCAGGGCAATGTACATCTTTGGTTGGGCATTCCTGGTCTCATGCACAGGAGAACCTGGAGAAGGCCGTGGTGCGGGTGCAAAGCTTCGTGGACAGAGAGCGGCTGTTCGGCCGGAGCCTAAAGTCTGCTGCTGTGCAATAACTGAGCAGCAAGCGGCAACGTCCATGGAACAGACACGCGTGGCAGAATTGCTTCTTACGCAGGCATGGAAGTGTCCGACTACTCCGCTGTGGAGGTCATGAGCGAGGAGCGCAAGCCCTCGCAGCTTCCGAACGCCCCCCTCCGCCCCTCGGTAGAGCCAGCTGTAGGCCTTCGAGCCGTACTACAAGCTCTGGAACAGTGCCATTGACTTCAAGCACTCAGAGGCCGGTCGCATGCATGTTGTTCTTTGGTACGGCGCATCAACAGTTCTTGCAGTCCATCTGTTGCCACCTCTCCTGCTGTTGATGCTGCCACTGCTACTGCTACTGCTACTGCTGCTGCTACTGCTACTGCTACTGCTACTGCTGCTGCTGCTGCTGCTGCTGCTGCTGCTGCTGCTGCCGCCTCTGCGACAAATGGCAATCGCGAATGTGTTTGATTCGGATGCTCGCTAACTGTGACGTGCAAGTTTGAATAGTTGACGAGCTGACATGTTTTGCGCGGTGTATGCGTCGCGTGCAAGTGACGCTTGTTTTCTGACTTTGCTCGTGGGTGGCCCCCGTGTACGACGGTGGATGGTGGTTTTGCAGACTTATGCCGAACAAGTGGACATCATGATGTCTGCAGGTGTCATGACAGATCCGTGCTTGGCAAAGCAATCGGAGCAACGCTTAATACGCCCTTCAACTTTTCCCAGCCCGAAAAGCTTTCAACAAAGGTTTGCAAGCAGCCCCCCTATCGCAAACCTCGTAAGATGACAGTATTTCAAAAGTCCTGACACCAAACCCCACTCCCCCCCCCCAACCCCGGCAACATACTCAAACCTTCAACGAGAGAAGGAGGCAAAACGAAAGGCGCCTCCTGATATCCGAGGAGGAGTGGCTGCAGGGCGTAGTTCAGCGCCTGGTGGCTGAAGAGATCGAGGCCATGGTCGAAGAACAGCCGGGGAGCCCAAAACGAAGCCGGGGAGTTTGACGGTTTGGGAGCTTTTTTTAGAGAAGGGAAGGTTTGTGGTTTTAGGATTTAGGGTTTAGGGCTTATGGGGGCTTGTGGTACTATTGGAGTTGAGGGGTTTAGGGTTGTAATTCTTTGGGGTGCGGGCGGGTTGGATCGGGTTGGTGTGTTTCGCAACTGGAGTTCTCTGAGTCGGAATGTCCTTTTGGGAATCCAAGGAGTAACCCAAAACCCTAGACCCTAGACCCTAAACTCAAAGAGCCCCCCATGACGTGTGTCTTCCACTTTTCAGGAGTTCCGGACGTTACGTGTACCAAGGTACAAGGAGAGCTATAAGACCATGAAGCAGTTCGAAGGCAATGAGAATCCGCTGGCAGTGGCCAAGGACGGAGATGTCGGTTTTGAATGTACCGTTTAGGGTTTAGGGCTTTAAGGTTTTCACACTCCGCAAGAAGCGTTTTCGTGATGCAGGATCTGCGAGAAGAAATCTCGAACTTCCGTGCCAACATGTCGGGCGGCCTGGGTTCGAGCTCAGCTATCTACAACACAAGTTCGTCCTTCCCTTTGCCAGGCCCGTCATCCGTGCCTTGTGCCAGGAGGCTCGAAAGACAGTGTGGGCAGGGTGGGTTATGGGTTATCGTTGTTGCCCTACGATAAGAAAGATGTTGTACCCTTTCCTGAAGAGTGCGAAAGCCTGTTGTCTCGATTTCGGGTATCCCGGTGGGTAGGGAACCAGATTCCAAGCGGGCAGTGATCTTGAGGGTGGGGAATGCAGCTGTAACTAAGACTGCAAAGCAACTTCGCGTGCAGACAGACATACGGATTTGGCCAATTTTGGCTGGAAATTACCAGACCGGGTTCTACCAGTCTAAGTACGCAAGCAGGCGTTGGTTTCCATAAGCGGAGAACCGAAACGAAATTCGAAAAGTCGAAAAGTCAAAAAGTCGAAAAGTTTTCGACTTTTCGGATTTTCTTGCACTTTTCGGACTTTTGTGGCTTTTCGACTTTTCCGGTTTTCTGGCACTTTGCGGACTTTTTGGGCTTTTCGACTTTTTGACTTTTCGACTTATCGGGTGTGTTGGCACCTTTCGCACTTTGTGGGCTTTTCGGCCCTTCCATTGTTCGACTGTTCGGGTTTTCCTGCACTTTTCGGACTTGTTGGGCTTTTCGACTTTTCGGGTTTTCTGGCGCTTTTCGGATTGACTGTTCGGGTTTTCTTGCGCATTTCGGACTTTTTGGGCTTTTGGGCGTTTTTACGTTTCGACTTTTCGCGTTTTCTGGTACTTTTCGGACTGTCACGCTTTTCGACTTTTCTTGCACTCGTGGGACTTTACGTGTTTTTCGACTTTTCGGGTTCGGCTATTCGTTTCGGGTTTTTCGCGTTTTTGGACTTTCGTCTATTTTCTTGCCTTCTCAGGTTTTTTGGTTGTACAAGCTTTTTGATTGGGCGCTAGCTGACTCCATAGTCACACGATCGTTCTTAGAGTCAGTCATAGTTTCGAGTGTCGTGGTTGTAGCTCGTTCGGGCCTTCCTGCTTTGGCCGACGGTGGGTTCTTCTCCTGCCCTAAGCCAGACGCACCACTAGGCAAAACAGCCGACCCGTGTCGCTGGGCATTGACTGTCAAAGGGTTCATGTTGAGTCAGGCCTGCTGTGCGGCAGTCACAATGTCATTGTAGCGCTTAGATCAAGCATGCCTACACTTAGCCTTCATTGGTTTTATCAGCCGTCTAACGAAGTCGTTAAGCCCGGCGCACCACTAAGCAAAACAGCCGCTTCAGCGTTTGGCGATTGAAAGGGCCTTATAGGCTTTCGCTATTTTGTAAAAGAGCTTGGGTTTTGAAACGAGCTTATGGGGCTTGTTCGTGTCAGTGACTTTGTGTAGCTCTTCAAACGTCTTCAACCATGGGGATCG